TCCAATTCTGATGGTACCAGTAACTGCCTGATTGTACATCGGTTTTGCCTTTCCCTTGAGTGTTGAGCATCGGCCAGATCCCCTGGTAACTCCCTGCAGCGCATTCTCCTTAAACCGTGATGATCTGTTTGTTCCTTCCCACTTTTCACTTGCTCCCAGAGTGCAGTTATTTGTTGCTTCTAAAAGCATGAACTGGTAGACTGTATTGTCTGCTAGGATGAAGCAGAAGGGTTGAACAACACACATATGATGGTTTAGCTTGGCTCAGACTGCTCAAGGCTTAATCTAATCCTCTCATTTTATTCATTTTGGCTAGAGGCAGACCCCAGTGGGGGCCATTCTATTTATTTGAAGTCAATAACACCACACAAGTGGTTCAGGATGCAGGGCTTTCATTTGGAAGACCCCAGTTCCAAATATTTGGAAACATATTTTGGGGAGGAGCTGAAATGCTATAGAGAGATTCTCAGAATATCTTGGACAAAGAAGAGGAGAAATATTGACATCTTGAAAGATCTGAACATCAGGGAAGATTGGCTAATAAACAGCATCCTGTCTCGGAAGCTGAAATATTATGGTCAAATCAAGCGCCACGACGGATTGGAAACAATTATAGCAGAAGGCATGGTACCAGAAAGGAGGGGCAGGGGCCGACCGACACAAAGATGGGCACAGGATATAAGTGACTCCTTGAGTATGAAAGTACATGAGGTGGGAGAACTGGCAAGAGACCCGAGTTTTTCTTTTAGGCAGACTGTGATGAGAGCGGCGTTCTGCAAAGAACCTGCTACATGATGATGATGATTTTGGGGAGGGAGGGATTTTTTTGCTTGTAATGGGGATAGAGCTCATGTGGGAATGTCCCGAGTGAGTGATGTCAATTCTTGATTCATGGATTGAAACTAGAGACATCATGTGTGGAAGGACTGTGATGACTAACTCAGGGAATGCGGAGTTCCTGAAAGAAATATTTTAGCCATGTTACAATGGGGGGTCCTAACATCTAAAGTCTATGGTAAACACTAGCCATGGTTGCCCTAAATATAGTAATGACAGTAATACCGAATAACTAAACAATGGCTTCTGGAATATGAGATATGAGTAACAACAGATAACATCAAACAGTTTCCAGAATATGTGAAGTCAGTAACAACAAATGATGGAATCATTAATTTTGAGCTTTGGGAAAGAACTAAAATTCCAGTGAATCATGAGGTGAAGAGATGTTGGTGTTGGATATGAGGTACATTTAAGAAAATCTGTGAACAAATTAACTAGAGTGTCTTTGCACGGGAACCTTCAGGAATGTAGAAACAAAGGCAGGAGAATATATAAACATGGAGAAAGGGGTTAGTGAATAAATTTAAAAAGAAAAGAAGGAAATGAACAAACTGCATGCAGTTGCAAAGGGTAGAATGGCTTGACTTTGCGTGAGTTGGCTCATGGCCTATGCTCCAGTGGGAGATAAAGGAATGTTGAATTAAGAATCAACATCACAGCACTTGACCACCCCCATAAGCGCTCTGTCCCTATCTTCAGCAGCAAGCAAAGAGTTAAAATTCTTATGGTACCAATAACTGTCTGATTGTATATTCGTCTGGCCTTTCCCATGAGTTTCGAGCTTCGGCCAGATCCCCTTGTAACTCCACGCAGTGCCATTCTCCTCAGGCTGTAATGATCTATCTGTGCCTCGGCACTGTTCACTCGCTTCCAAAGGGCCCTCACATCTAGCTTGTCATACATCATTTCACCACCAAGTGGTGCAAAACCAGCCAGTTTATCTGCCTGCTCATTTCCCAACACACTGACATGACCTAGAGAAAATATCCAGAGGATGCTAACTACCCGGGACCTTTGAAGTGATGCTTGCCACTCTTCATGGAGAATGCTTGACTCCACCTTTCATAATTCAGGAATACATTACTGTGAGGCAGTCTCTTCACAGGCCACAGGGCTTAGCAAATTGCAGTACATCTTCTTTAACCCACTGACTACCTCTGTCACACATTACATGATAGGCTGATGTTTACACCTGGCTACCATGATCGCACATCCTGTTATCGAAACTTTGGAAACTTCTTCTTCAGCAGCATTCCAAGCTCTTGAGGTTAATTGCTGCAGATATCACCCACTTCCATTCATCTCTCTGGTTGGCCTTCTCTTGCCAGTTGGTGACACCAAGTGTTTTCAGGTCTGTCTGGACATTATCTCTCCATCAACTTCTTGGTCTGCCTCATTGTCTACCACCATTTTTGGACACTTGTTGCCGTATTAAAATTGCGACTTGCGATATGGGTAGTTGAAGCCTTTAGTCCATTCATTTATCTTTTTAAAGGAAACAGTTCTGTAGTATTCAAAGTATTTTCGATGAGTGTGTGTGTGTGTGTTTGTGTTTGTGAGCTGCCATGTCATTGACTCATGTGGAGGTTGATTTGATAATTGGGATGTTCATGAGTGCTGGCATTGGTGGAACAAAGAAGACACAAACAATAGACTGCACAATTTATTGCCTGGCATATTTCGCTGTATCTCATCAGGTGCATACTTCAGTAACAATTAATTAAAATGAAGCAAATAGCTGAATCCTAGAAACTGAAACACAAATTCGAGTAGATTTCAAACTGTTTCACCAAGGTAAACGTAGGGCAACGACCATTTCCTTTTGCCTACAAAGTTCCGGTTTCAATCTGCCAATCGCTGAAGCTTCTGCGTATCGAAGTAATCTACGGTTAGCCGAACTGTAAATAATTCGGAATGCATCATCCCTGTTAATGATGTGCCCGGAATTTAGAATATGGCACGCAATTGCTGATGATGGATTATTTCGACAAGTTACCTGATTCGTTGTTGTTGAGGTGTTAGTCTAACACCTCAACAACAACGAATCAGGTAACTTGTCGAAATAATCCATCATCAGCAATTGCGTGCCATATTCTAAATTCCGGGCACATCATTAACAGGGATGATGCATTCCGAATTATTTACAGTTCGGCTAACCGTAGATTACTTCGATACGCGGAAGCTTCAGCGATTGGCAGATTGAAACCGGAACTTTGTAGGCAAAAGGAAATGGTCGTTGCCCTACGTTTACCTTGGTGAAACAGTTTGAAATCTACTCGAATTTGTGTTTCAGTTTCTAGGATTCAGCTATTTGCTTCATTTTAATTAATTGTTACTGAAGTATGCACCTGATGAGATACAGCGAAATATGCCAGGCAATAAATTGTGCAGTCTATTGTTTGTGTCTTCTTTGTTCAAATTTACAACGGGGAAACATTGCTTTGATTGGTGGAACAGTTTGGGGAGTTTTTCTGAAGCAGTGGGATATTGTCTTGTTTGTTTTAAATCGGAAAGTGAAAGTAAAGATATTTCTAAACGTTTGATGACCGTGACTTGGGTGATTCTTTTCAACTGCCTTCAAAAACATTGTTGAAACTGGAGGACGATGTTTTGCTTACAGCAGTGGCGGGGCAGTCGGAGGTAGGTGTGGAGCTAGGTGTGTTATCTACCTTATATTAGTTCGTGTAAACTGTTTCATGTATGTGCTTCAGGTGGGTATTGTTAGATGGGTCTGTTAGTGTAGACTATGTGCATTACGGCACTGTGACTGAGTGGTCTCGAGGTATGGTGTCCACCTCAAGTGCTGGAGGTCCTGGGTTCAAGCCCGATGAAGGCTGAGATTTTTTTTTCACGTGGAAATAAATACTTTGTATCTGGGAAAGTGCACTGGTTAACGGGCTCGGTAGTCAGTGGGTTAAGTTTGAATGGGAAATGCTGAATATAACTGTATGATTGGACAGTTGAGGCAGCTCACACCAGGGACAGCATGATAAGCATGAACCAAAACTGGTTCATGTGAGTGTTCAGTCACACCTGACATGAGGGTTGTTAGCCTCATTTGGATATTTTTCCCAGGCAGGCAAATAGACTGGCTGGTTCTGCATCATTTAGTGGTGAACTGATGCATGACAAACTTCAGAAGCGAGTGAACAGTGCAGAGGCACAAATATATCATTATGGTCTGAGGAGAATGGCACTGTGGGGAGTTACACACAACACTCAAGGGAAGCGGGAGACTGATATACAATGAGGCAGTTACTGTTACCAGCAGAATTGGAACTCTTTGCTTGCTGCTGAAGTTGGGGATGGAGCGCTTATGGTAGTGTCCCTAGTGCTGTGTTGTCGATTCTTAATTCAACATTGAACATTCAATCTGACATGAGGATAATGTAACTTTGTAAGATTATTTGCATGGAAGTAAGGCTTTTTTCCTAGGAAACATTGTGCTGGACTCATCATAAAGGGATTTTAAACTGAAAAAATGATGCTTAAAAGTTGTCATTGTTCCATAATATCAGTTTTCTTCTTCTTCTTTATCTCTTTCACCATTTACCTTAGTGAGGTGTTGGCGGGAGATGTATGGATCATTTGTGCGCTTTTTCCAAAGCGTTGTACAAGTTGGTGTTTATTTCTGTTAAGTTGCTTCTGATGGTGTTGCTCCATCTCTTGCGTGGTCTTCCCTTTGCTCTGTGTTCATTGTTTCTTCAGCATTGCTCTCTGTGGCAGTTGGTACCAAGGCATTCTCATCAGGTGGCCAAACCAACTTTTGTTGTTGTTCTGTAATGAATTGTATGACTGGTTACAGTCCTAGTCTTCTTGTCACACCGGCACGCAGCTCTCCTAAGACATCTCGGAATACCAATTGTACCGCCAGGAAAAACAAAGTCATGAATGGAAGATATGGGTTATGTAACTTTCTAAGCATACAGGCTGAGGAAGAATACTTACACTACTGGTGTCCAACATACAGTACTCTGTGTTGTTTTTTATAGAAAGATTTCACCTTTTTTAGTAACAAACTTCTGGTTCTAAGCAGGGAGATAACAGCCCATGTGACAGTACATTTGAACTACATAGACAAGGGTGTTGCCCTTCCGAGAACAGCTATGGATGCCCAACAGTGCTCTGAAAAGACTATGCCTTTCCTTCAGAGAACAGCCATGGATGCCCAACAGTGCTGTGAGAAAACTATGCCTTTCGTTCAAGATAGACAGTTTCCAATTGAACCTTCTTCCCCACAGTCTCCTGTATTCAGTGAGAGAGATCCCTTTGCTGGGTCAGCTGCTGCACTCCGACAGAAGCTGGAAAAACAAGGAGGCAAATCTTCATCCTTAAAGGCTTACAGAGCCCAGGGTGACTTCCAGAAACCGAGTCCAGGTAGTGCTGTAGCTCATGCAGTGTTGAAGTCTTGTCTATCTCAAGAATCTGCCCTACAGATACAGCAACGTATGCCGGGTGATGATAGCAGGCTGTCGTACGATATCGGCATTGAGGGATCATCTGAAGGGAAAACAAGTGATCCCTCAGGGCAAGGGGTACACCGTCCAGCAGTGTCCCCACCTGGGATCTGTACACAGCCACAGAAGGTAAAGAAGAGGATGCCACTAATGCCACCACCACCTCTACCACCATCAGTCCATGTTGGAAATGCCCCAGGGGCACCCCCGCTGCCTCCTTCGTGCCCTCCACCACTGCCACCTCTGGGTACAAGCCATCAGGCCCATCTGGTATCACACTGTAAACTGAAACAGGTGCACTGGGTCAAAGTTCACAGTAATCAGGTAGGAGGCCATCATTGTGTTGTCTTAATACAGAATATACTTTACCTGGATGTTTTTTTTCCTGTATCAGTTTAGCAAATCCCTCTGATCAACATTGTTTGCAGTCCTGGCCCACTGGAAAGACTCTGTCCCTTGCCAAGTCCTCTACCTTGTGTATTTCATGTTCAAATTATCTTGAAAGATCCTGTGTCCAATTGTGTGTGTTAATCTAACCTCTGTTTCTAGAAATCATGCCTTCCGTTACCATTCTCTTCAATATAATTCTCACACAACAAGTAAAACATATGTGCAAGTTGAAAATTTATAAATTATTTTGAAGACGAATGTATACATACTAGACACACATAAAATAATCAGTACTGTTCAATAGCCATAACTTTGAAAAGAAATTCACATTGTATCACAGAAACTTTGTTTGGTCAGTCAAACATGTGCTGTAGAAAAACCTCAATTGAAATAAAAATCATGGGAAACTTATGGAACCTGGAATAATGAGTTTCCTCTCACTTGAGTCAAAAATTGACATCGCAGCACTCAGGGCATTCCCATGCACGCTCCGTTCTCATCTTAAGTTCAGTACTAATCGTACCAGTTGTACTCTGGTTGTATATCTGCCTTGCCTTTCCTCTGAGTGTAGTGAGCTGGCCAGATCCTTTAGTTACATTAAGGTGCATCATTCTGTCTAGGCCACAATAACTTTTTTTTCTGACTTTGTTACATGTTCCGGAAGAGCCTTGACCACATCTGACTTGTCATGTATCAATTCACCTCCAAGTGGTGCAGATCTAGCCAATCTGTCTGCCTGTTTATTCCCCATCATGCCAGCATAGCCTGGAGAAAAATATATTTTGCTGCCTTTAAAATTGTTCAGGTTCCAGCTGCCAGTGTAGCTAGACATGCAAAAATGTCCCCTGCGTGTGCATGTTGAAATTTGTTGTGAAAATGAGGTTGAACAACACTACTAAGATCTTACAGAACCCATATCCTTGAGATCTTACAGAACTTATCATTGACTAAGATCTTACAGAACTTATCATTGACTAAGATCTTACATAACTTATCCTTAACTGAGATCTTACAGAACTTATCATTGACTAAGATCTAACAGATCTCATATCCTTGACTAAGATCTCTTACACAACCCATTTCCTTGACTAAGATCTTACATAATCTATTTCTTTAACTAAGATCTTACACAATCCATTTCCTTGACTAAGATCTTATACAACTGATTTCCTTGACTAAGATCTTACAGAACTTATCATTGACTAAGATCTTACAGAACTTATCCATGACTGAGATCTTACAGAACTTATCATTGACTGAGATCTTACAGAAGTTATCCATGACTGAGATCTTACAGAACTTATCATTGACTAAGATCTTACAGAACTTATCATTGACTGAGATCTTACAGAACTTATCATTGACTGAGATCTTACAGAACTTATACATGACTGAGATCTTACAGAACTTATCCATGACTGAGATCTTACAAAACCTATATCCTTGACTAAGATCTCTTACACAACTCATTTCCTTGAGTAAGATCTTACACATTCCATTTTCTTGACTAAGATCTTATACAACTGATTTCCTTGATAGATCTTACAGAACCCATATCCTTGACTGAGATCTTACAGAACTTATCCTTGACTAAGATCTTACACAACCCATTTCATTGACTAAGATCTTTCACAACCCATTTCCTTGACTAAGATCCTGCACAACCTATTTCCTTGACTAAGATCTTATATACAACTGATTTCATTGACTAAGATCTTACACAACCTATTTCCTTGACTAAGATCTTACACAACCCATTTCCTTGACTAATATCTTACACAACCCATTTCCTTGACTAAGATCTTACACAAACCATTTCCTTGACTAAAATCTTACACAACCCATTTCCTTGACTATAATCTTATATACAACTGATTTCCTTGACTAAGATCTTACACAACCCATTTCCTTGACTAAGATCTTATATACAACTGATTTCCTTGACTAAGATCTTACACAACCTATTTCCTTGACTAAGATCCAACACAACCTGTTTTCTTGATTAGGATCTTACACAACCCATTTCTTTTATTAAGATCTTACACAACTTGCATGTTTTGCAGATTGCTGCCTCGCTGTGGAGAAATGTCTGGGACCTGACAGACCAGCTGGACCTGGCTGAACTAGAGGATCAGTTTTCCATAAAAGAGAAGAAAACTGTGGCAGCTAAACCAAGTGAGTAAATGAATACAAGAAATAAATGATAGATACAGATTCTGCAGCTTAAAGTAGAAAGTGACAAGAGCTAAATAACATAACTGACCGTTATCTAATTTAGATCCCAGTCAGTTATAGAGGTTCTAAAAGGATGGAAGAAATAAAAGATTTGGAATATTCTGGTCACTTTTTTCTTCTTATTTTTGTCCTCTTTTACCGCTTTGTCGAGGGAAACAAAAGGTCCTGCTTCGTGCTCTTCTGGCTGCTTCGACCATAGAAACATTGTGGTGCTGTAGAGTTTCTCTGTTATCTTCCCATCTTGTTCTTGGTCTACCTCGTAATCTACATCACTTTCCTGTTTTGGTATATGCCTTGTTTGGTATAGTATCAGAAGTTATTTTCTCCAGGTGGGCAAACCATTTGATTTGCTATCTTTGTATGTAATTTAGAATTGCTTGTGTGCCAACTTTATCTTGTATGAACTCATTCCTAATTTGATCTCTTCTGGTCCCTTCTACAGACTTTCTCCTGAGACGCCTCATTTCCATGGTTACTAATTTGTTGTAAATATTTTGTTGTTAGTGACCAGGCCTGGCACTGATAGCATGAAGACATAATACTCTTTTAAAAAACCATACTGGAGGGAAAAGTCGAGCGCAAAAGGTTGACGATACAAGTGGGAGAACAAGAGGTGGACAAACAGCAGTCTGGGAGTAGTACCAAGACAGAGTTTGGCAGTCCCTTGCAGCCAACCTTAATTGTGGAGATGCCACCTTTCATCAAAGCTTACAGTCGGTGAACAAAGAAGATGATGAACACAAGTTAAGGTCATTGACTGATTAGGAAAAAATGAGACACAAACAGCTATTTTTGAACTTGTTGTAAGAAAACTTGGTAATAGCTGACAAGATTGATGGACACAGAGCACAAGGGTAAGGCAAAGAGATAAATGCTTGGATGGCCTAACCATGGGGGAAAGAGGGGGGGGGGGGAAGCAAGAAAACTGGCATAATCTGCAATTCTGGTGGTAGTATGAGATGACAAAACATTTAATTTAGATGTTCTGCATACAGCAGTACAGATTTCACATTAAAGCTGAAAATATCAGCTTGGTATTAAGTTTCATATCCTTCAACTCCAAACAAATTTCCTAGTTTTCTTTTAAATCTACCCAGTTAGCTGCTGTTATATGTAATACAGTATTGAAATACAATCAGTCGTGTCTAGTTATGGATACTACAATATTAAAACAGAAGTAGTCCCTTCTATGATTAAATGAAATGCAGATTTTCCACAAAATAATCAACTGTTTATAATCATGAAATATAAATAATCAGCCTAAGATGACAAATGCGGTGCTAAAATAAAAATAAAATAACAATCTGTCAAATTAGACAAATGTTGTTAACAGAAATCAGGCATATTATATATTATGTAGGGCTGTACCGAATAGTTATTCTCACTATTCGGCCGATTACGAATAGCGGGACCAACTATAGGCCGAATACGAATACGAATAGTGTATAAAATATATCTAAAAAATTAAAAATAAAAACATTCATACTGTCAAACGTACGCTGAACTTTTACTTCACATAAAGTAGCACAGAATAGTCATCTTTTTCTTTGGCATTCTGAGCCCTTGAGGTTTACTGCTGCAGATATCACTCGTCTCTATTCATCTCTCTGGCTGGCCTTATCTTCACAATTTGTGACACCAGTTGTTTGCAGGTCTGGCTGGACATTATCTCTCGAACTTCTTTTTTGTCTGCCTCGTGGTCTACGCCCATTCCTCTCTCAGGTGTATAGAGTTTTTACTTCTCTGTCATCTGACATTCTTTCAATATGCCCCAACTATTTTAGTCTGTTAGCGCTCATGATGCCAGTGATCAATGTTGATTTAAACAGATTATGTGTTACGTTGTTGCTTCTCACTCTCCATTTCCCGCTGTTTGCATCTTTGATGGGTCCAAAGATTTGTCGTAAGACTGTTTTCGAAAACCAGTAATAAGGCCTCATCTCTTTTTATTTCTGCTTCAAGTTTCAGAGCCATATAAAACGACTGGTCTTATCAAAGTTTTATATATTTTGATCTTGGTCGTTGCGAGACAGACACTTTGACTTTAGCAGATGTTGAAGGGCATAGTATACTTTATTTCTAAATTGTATTCTAGATTGTATTTTTTTCTCTCAGTATGTTGGAGCAGTTGAAGTTTGCACCCAAGTACTTATGTTTCCGTTCGTTTGATTTTCATATTATCGACTTGGATGTGGCCGGAGTTTATATTCTTTCCATGTCTAGTCAGTATTTGTACAGAATAGTAAACATTTAAAAACATTTTATGGTTTTGCATCCTTCAGTCAGTCTGTGGTAACTAATAACTAGGAATGAAAGAATCCTAAAAATTATAACAAGCAACTAAACTTGGAAATTGTCACTGACAGCTTAGTTAATGCATGAAAGCTGCATTAGCTTTCAATAAAACCAATCGTTCCATGTTGTCAGTATTAGCGGGTGTAAGGTAACTACTATTCGTATTCGGCCCTACCGCAACTATTCGGCCAAATAGTCAATAGGTCCACTATTTGGCCCTGAAGCGAATACGAAGTGAATATTCGGTACAGCCCTAATATTATGTGTTACATTTAACACAAGATTGAAATGGAAATAAAATATAACAATCAGGCAGATAAGAAAGTCTTATATTGAACAAGACTGAAATGGTTATAAAATAAAGGTCAGGCAAATTAGACATTTGTTACATGTAACATTTTTCAATGTTGAATTAAGAATCGAAATCATAACACTCAGGACACTTCTATACATTCCCCATCCGCATCTCCAGTAGCAAACTAAGTGTTCCAATTCCAAAGATACCAGTAACTGTCTGATTCTACATCCGTCTCGCCTTTCCCGTGAATTTTTTTAGCGTCAGCCAGATCCCATTGTAACCCCCCACTGTGCCGTTTTTTTCAAAACTGTAATGATCTGTTTGTGCCTCCGCACTGTTCACTTGCTCCCAAAGAGCCCTCACAACATCGATCTTGTCATACATCGGTGTTCATTGTTCATTGAAATATATCTTCATCACACATCAGGCATGACCATAAGTGTTTTTATGCTAACAGCTCCCATTCTGTTCTGGTGGATGTAATGACCGATGGCTCTCACATGGTTATCATGTCCATGGCTCTGATTGGTACACCCAGGGTATGCAGACTATTCAGTGTAAAAGCATACATCAGTTCACCACCAAGTGGTGCAGAACCAGCAATCTTTTGTATGGCAATAATCAGACAGGTTTAACTGTAATACTGGTATAGAATTGAAAAGTAAATGTAACAGTCAGAGGCGAAGGGAAGTAGTTTCTTCTTCTGCATTCTCCCTTAAAATGATAGTTGGTACATTGTGTTGTGGTTTTCAACTAGGCTGTGATTTCTTCACCATTCAGTCCAACATATAAGATTTCACTAAAACCCAAATTAGTCCCAGGGAGCCTAGCCTAATGTATCCTTTAAAGTCTGACTGCATCTACCTAAGAGGCAAGGAACCAACAGTTTGCACATCAGTCTTATTATTTAACTGCCAGACTGTATTGCACTGCACATTGGACAAGTCCATAAGCGCTATGATCCCCTTCTTCATTATATCCCTCAGCGTGTGGCAACTGATAACAAGTGTTCTGTGTTGGCTTACTATTCTCCTTTGGCTACCTGTATAGTGTTCATGTTTGGTGACATCTCTTTTGACCTAAAGCTCTTGTACTCTTTTGAGTGTTGTATTGTACCTAAAATGTCTAACCCTAGATGTATTATGTCTGTTGGCCTAATCCGTCATCATATAGCAGGTTCCTGACAGAACATCGCTGCCATCAAAGCCCACCTGGAATAAATTTGGTCCCTCGTCAGCTCTCCTGCCTCATGAAGTTTCCTGCTCAAAGTGTCTGTCTTGTGTCCATCTTTGTGCAGGTTGGCCTCTGCATCACTGCCATAAATGGCCACTATCATTTCTTTCCAAGCCATTGCAACATTTATGGCCAGTATAATTTCTTTCCAAACTATTGCAACATTTGATATAGTAAAAAAAAAAAGTTAAGATCCCTTTCCATGCCTTTCGGCGCATTGGGCATATGGGCAGAGCGTCCCATATTTTTACAGACCATCAGCACTCTATGGGTAATGTGGTCAGCATTACGCCAGCTGTCTTTACTTTCCCAGGACAGCCCATCCTGGTACCCATTTTAGGCTGGGTTGACCTGCGACGTCCCATACCACGACAAAAATCCACGCAGCCTGCAGTGGGTTTCGATCGCGGTATGCTGGCTTACGAGTCGGACTCGCAATGCCTTAGCCACAACATTTGATATGGCCACTATAATCTCTTTCCAAACCTTTGCAAAATTTGATATGGCAACTATAATTTCTTTCCAAATTATTGCAACATTTGATATGGCTAAAATAATTTTTTTTCCGAATTATTAAAACATTTGGTATGGCCACTATAATTTCTATCAAAATTATTGCAACATTTGATATGGCCTCTATAATTTCTTTCCAAACCATTGCAACATTAGATACGACCTCCAAGCCATTGCAACATTTGATATGGCCACTAAAATGTCTTTCCAAAGCATTGCAAATGTGATATGGCTACTGTTTCTTTCCAATTAGCAGTTTATGGATGCTGTAGTCAGTATCATGTCGGTCCCCTTTACTTCCCAGGACACTTTACTGGTACCCATTCAAGAATGGGTCGATCAACCTGGGAGCTAAGGTCATTTTTAAAAAAAAAATGTCTGGCTCTGTCAGGACCTGTACCCATGACCTCCAGATCTGCAGGTGTTTAGCCACTACATCTTGGTGGCTTCCCTTGTGAATATTAGATTTATGATATTTTGCTGTTTGCCACTTTGGGAAATTCTCACAAACTTTCCGTCGGGCATGTCTTCTCACATGTGTCAAGTATTGTCTCAATTTCTGATAAAATGTCATTATCATATATGTCAAGTCTGTTTTATACAGAGTTACAAGAGGACAAGGAAATGTTGATTGATTCTAAACGAGCTCAGAACCTAGGGATTTTGTTCTGTGGTCTGAGAACAGAGAACGTCAGAAAGCTGACCTCCGCCCTCAATTCTACCACAGAAGTGGACAGTTTCCCTGCAGACAAGATGGCTGCTTTCAAAAGGTAAGTAGTTAAAAATGAGGAGTGGCTGGTCAAGTGTTTAAAATGTTTGGCTTGTTTGAGTTAACAGTTTGCATCCTCAGTTCGGCTTCTTCTTATTGTTCACTCCAGCAGGAAGTTCTGGTTGTTTGGTCACTGCAGGACTTAGGTCTTGTTTAAGAACTTAGTTTGCATGCAAATTCATTTTACAGCTTTGGCTTTTTTGTTTGCAGACTGTTGATTCCTTATCTGTCAAGCAGATACACTTCCCTATGAAGAAAAACACTCCTAATTGGTCAGCTTTTATGACATGTTTATGGGGGGGGGGGGGGTAGGGTGGCAGTGGGTCTGTTTCTTTCTCCTGAATGGGACCCCAGAATCCACATGTGAGAGAATCATCAGCAAGATGATGGGAGTGTTTTCTGATTGGGGGAAAAAAACTAAAAGTCATAATCTAAACTGTTCGTGGGCGACACTAGCCATGCTGTCCTAGATATTCAGGCTTAAGAATCCCCTTTCCCCTCCTCCCACCTTTCACTGTCCACCATCCTAAAAAAGTGGTAAATGCAGGTGGTAAACACAGTAGTTTGGGGCCAATGAGATGTAGTGGCTAGATGCTCACTGTGGATTAGAAGGTTGTGGGTTCAAGTCCTGACAGAGCCAGACTTGAAAAAAAAAAAGGCCTTAAATGGGTAGCACATGGGGTTCCTGGGAATTAATGGCCACATCCCCCATCATGTGGCCTTTGGTCTATGAAAGTATAGCTCTGTGTGCCCAGTATGCCTGAAGGCATGGAAAAGGGTCCTTAAACACAGTGGTTCACAATTTATATGGGACAGTGGTTCACAGTTCATCTGGGACAGTGGTTCACAGTTCATCTGGGACAGTGGTTCACAGTTCATCTGGGACAATGGTCCACAGTTCATCTGGGACAGTGGTTCACAGTTCATATGGGACAGTGGTTCACAGTTCATATGGGACAGAGGTTCACAGTTCATCTGGGACATGGTTCACAGTTCATCTAAGATGGTGGTTCACAGTTCATCTAAGATGGTAGTTCACAGTTAATCTAAGACAGTGGGTCACATTTGATCTAAGACAGTGGTTCACAGTTAATCTGGGTCAGTGATTCACAATTAAAGACCTGCAGAGCCCTCTTATTTTTTGTCTTTTTTTTTTAAAAGTTATACCAAAGAACTTGCTGTAATTAATGAATAATAGAATCGCAGATTGAATTGCATTCTTAAGTTGAGGGATTTTGTGTAAATACCTATATTCATTCAATCATTATCCTTTAGTGCCATTATGTGTCACATAGGGCTCACAGTCTAATCCTCTATTCCATTGTATCTTGTGCAATCAGTTCAATAGCATGGATGGAATCCAGTCCCGCAGCTTTGGCTTCTTACATCAACATTCGTCTTAGGGTTTCTATTAAGTGTCCAGGCCTCTTTAATCCCTTGATTTCTTATTTTAATGCCTGCTGCAGCTTACAACTGTAACTCAGATAAGTCATATTTTTATTATAAACCTATTGACGTTCTGTGGGTGAGGAGGTCATCGTACCAACTACCATTACTTTCTGAGATATTTCTGGCTACCCCGTATTTTTTTTTTTCTGGGTTGATGTTGGAGCCAGGTCAGTTATTACATATCTGCTCAGTGTGGATTCAGTCTTGAGCTCTTCAGGTTTGAAGGCAATCCATCTGACCACTATACTGCCATTACTCCCTACCTCATTAATCAGAATTGCTGATTTTATTTTCTAATTGGAAAAGTCAGAGGTAGATTACTTCCAATGTTTTAGTGTGGTACCTGGACTGACGGTGATATATTTTTGTGTCCCATTTTCCCCTTGAATGAGTTGTCAAGAATAGACTCATGCACTCAGGACATACCCATAAGTGCTCCATCTCAATTTCAGCAGCAGCAAAAAGTTCCAGTTCCGATGATGCCAGTAATGTGTCTTGCTTTTCCTCTCTAAGCACAGTGTCCACCAGACCCTCTGGTGACTTCCTGTTGCACCAGACCATAGTTCATGCCTTCACATTATTCACTTACTCTTAAAGAGCCTTGACCAGATGTAGTTTTTCCCTTGAGAAAAAAAAAATTGATAGATTGAGACTTCTGTTGTATTTTATTTTGATTTGTTTACAATGAATATGTTTTATCTAAAGGTACCAGCCAACAAGTGATGACAGGGAGATGTACAAAGGATGCACCCAAAGACAGGACAGCCTGCACCATGTGGATCAGTTCATGCTGGAGCTTTGTCAGATACCTAATCTCAGCCTGCGTCTCGACCTCACGCTGACCCTCTGGGAGTTTCCAGATCACTATGCCAGTTTGGAAGAGGCAAGTTTAACTGAATATTTTTCTAGAAAAACAAATTTACAGAATTTTGGTATACATTTGTTTCTTTCTTCTTTTTGCATTTGGTTTGGTATCTCTATGTCTATATCCTCTTCATGTCGCTGTTGACACATAAGGCATTCAAAAGGGATCTTCATTGCTGCCGGTCTGCTGATTTTCTGCCCAAGGTATCCCATGTCAGTTTACATTCCTCCATTTCCCGTTCTCTTGTCCCTCTCCAGGTTTCCTTAGGTCGTCCAGTCTCCTTTTCCCATCTGCTGTCCACCAGAGAGCTGTTTTTGTCAGAGTGTCACAAGGCATTCTGCAAACATATCCAAGCCATCTCCATCATCTTACTTTGATAACATTTGCCAGTGATGCACATTCTGTTTTCCTTCTCAGTTCTTCATTTGTGATCTTGTTTCCCTAATGAAGTATTTTTTTACAGTAATGGGTTGTCAACTCTTTGCCCAGCTACCAAACTGGAAGACCAGGGTGCTGGTTTGGTCTGACTCTTCTTCTCAAGATCTGTTCCGCATGGTTAAACTTGCCAGAGAAACAAGTCCCCTGCTGGCATAGCTCTGAGTCTTTGAGGTACTCAAGCCATCCTGCCACAACAAGACACCAGCACCATGGGATTGTTGGTTGGGTATGCTCAGGTCATATTGTCAGTTGGGCTGCCTGCGTGAATTCCTCTGTCAAGTTGTAAATGTTCGGTTTAGTATACCTCCTATTTAGACGCAGTAACCATTGCTTGGTATACAACCTTTGTTTGGAATATGAACTTGTACAAGTTGAAGTTAGTCATGACACCACATGCTGTCTTTGTTTATCTCTGTCAAGACAAAGCCATGCATAGATACCACTAACTTTGCAAAGACGTATCACCCCAGCAAAACTCAAACAGGCGGTAATAACATTGTCTGGAATGACCAGACAGTGTCATATTTCTCAAACATTCTGAGGAGAAGGCATAAGCAAATTTCTTTGGACTGATTTTTAGTAAAAGTCAAACCTGGAAGGAAGAGGAAAAAACACAAGAATTTCAGATTCCTGAAGTTTTATTGAAATGGGAACTTTCCACCCAAATATCTCCTCCTCCTCCTCCCTTCTCATTCCTTTATTTCATCCAGTTGCTTTTGTATTTATGTATTTTAGATTAGTAAAATAAAGATCCTTTTTCCACACCTTTTGGAATAGGAAATATAGGGCTAGACCTGTATTTTTATAGACCAGTCAGCACTTGGTGGGTGATGGGGTCAGCCTTTACTTCCCAGGACTGCACCCGGTACCCACTCAAGGCTTGGCCGACCTGGGAGTGAAGGTCATTTAAACAAACAAACAAAAAGTATGGCTCCGTCAGGACATGAACCCATGACCTTCTGATCTGAAGGCAGGTGTCTAGCCACCAACGCCACTGCAATTCCCATTTCAGTATAAGGCCATATATGAATTATTTTATACAACCCTCTCAGTGTATAATGTGCCATCAAGTAGAATTTTATTTTCATGGAAATAGATTAATCATTCCGTTTATTTCGTGGGAGATTTTTTTAAAGACAATTGTTTTGTATACGTCCAAGGACCAGGAACAGATTATGTATATCAAAGTACCACTAAATTACCAATGTAAACTATCCAATGAGTTAACCAGCCAGTAAACTGACTAGCTAGTGTGCTAACTGACCAGTGAGCTTACCAACCAGTGAGCTAACCGACCAGTGAGCTTACCAACCAGTGAGCTAACCGACCAGTGAGCTTACCGACCAGTGAGCTAACCGACCAGTGAGCTAACCGACCAGTGAGCTTACCGACCAGTGAGCTTACCGACCAGTAAGCTAACCGACTGGTGAGATAACCGACTGGTGAGATAACTGACTGGTGAGCTAACCGTCTGGTGAACTAACCAACCAATGAACTAACTTACCTGTGAACTAACAGACCGGTGAACTAACCGACCGGTGAATTAACCAACCGTGAACTAATTGACTGTCAAACTAACCAACTGTATAATTCTATCACCAGGAAATCAATGATCTGCTGAGTGGATGTGAAGAGATCCTTACAAGCACAGAGTTACCCACAGTTCTAGAATTTCTTCTGGCAATTGGCAACTACATGAACTCTGTGTGGTCACACAGGCAGGGAATCCAGGGCTTTCAGATTTCATCTGTTGAAAAGGTAGATTTTTTTCTGTTGAAAAGGTAGAACAATCTTTGGCAACTGGACTTCTCGTTTGATGTTGAACTGTTTCTTGAAATTTAGAACGGTCTGTTGACTTTGAACTGTTCTTCATGAAGTTTGAAGAACGGACCATCATCATGGATCACAGGTGTAACCCATAAGTGCTCCATTCTTTTTCTAACTCAAGTCTGAGTCTGAAGAAGCTCAGCACAGTACACAGGCTCTGTAGCACTACCAAGGTTCCTGAAAAATTTTCAGTCCGATCTCACTACCCAGAGACCAGTGGGAATTACTAGAAGTCCAAGTCCACGTGAAGAAATCCCAGCCTTTAATGGGGATTAAACCCAGAACCTCCAGCACTCAAGGCGGACACCATACCTTGATACCACGCAGCCTCCATAAGGTTCTTCATAAGGTAGAACAACCTTTTGATGTTGAACTGTTGCCTTAAAAGATGTAAGTCTAGTGTTTTGTTCCAGTTTCTCAAAAGGTAGAACAAGATAGTGGTGCAAGAGTCACACAGTGGAAGAGTCTGAAACATCGTGTGTGATATTCCCATTCAGCAGTGGATACATTGCAAACTGTCTAGATTGAGGAGGTGTCTTTTCCTGGTCAGAGTGGATTAAACCTGTCACCCCAAGAAGGCCTTATCTAGCAATTTCTGTTCGGCATCTGTTCTCTCAGTCTGCCTCTCCTCCCCTTCAACTTTCCTACTGTCAAGATGTACTCCAGTTTTCTCCTTCTCATCTGATTACCAAAGAATGTAGATTGTCTCTGATGGGGGCAATCAGTTCTCTTTGTGATCCTGATCTCTCTACGCAAAATGGACCCCACTTACTTTGTAACCATTAGGTGCCCTAATAAAACTTATAAACTGTGTTACCGGGGCCCTCATGGGAAGTAAAGAATAGTAACAGTTGCACCCTACCAGGCATGCCGTAAGAGGTGGGGTAGGGTAAGGCTGGGAGTTGGCTACTTTATCCTGTAAAAACAATAGCCACAAAAAACAACCATCCAACCATGGAAAAGTCAGAAAGAGAAACGAAAACCCATCCAACGAAGATGAGGCGAGGCTCTTCTAGCAGAAGTAGTATGATACGGTGCTGAGAAAGCTGAAAGAAGTCCAGATCATCAACGTACCTCCTTTCACCTAGGGAACTCTCCAGAATTGGCACATGGAATTTAAAAGCTGTGTGTGATGTAAGAAGATCAATAGAGGTGTTAAGGGAAATAAAACATTAAAGGATTACTATTATGGGATTATGTGAAACTAGATGGGCTGGGAAGAGTGCACTGGAACCCGGCGGGGCATAGAAATGAAGAAAGACCAAAACACACATGGAAAGGTAGCTAGAGGGTGAAGTTAAACAGATGGAGAGGACATGGAAAAAGCGGCATGCAATAGTGAAGGACAGAATGACTTGGTTTGTGTTCTTTGATGGTCTGTGCTCCATTAGGGATTAGAAAGGCAGAAGAAGGAATATGTTACATTGTTGAAGAGGGTTTCTGAGATTTACCCTTGGGAGTACATACAGAATGAAGCCATGCGGGTAATTCTGCGATGTACAAGAGATACCCTGGTAGTACTTACAAAGCATGTTGGGAACGGTGGAGACAGGCATGCTGTGTGCAGAGTGGCAAGCATAACTTCAGTTGTTCCGGGTAGTTAGCGTCATTTGGATATTTTCTCCAGGTGATGTCAGTGTGTTAGGAAAGGAGAAGGCAGATAGAATGGCCGATTTTGCACCACTTGGTGGTGAATTAATGTATGACAAGCTAGGTCCTTTGGGAGCGAGTGAACAGTGAGGAGGCACAGATAGATCATTACGGTCTGAGGAAAAGGTGAGATGGATGTATAGTTACTGGTACCTACGATAGGAATATGAACTCTTCACTTGCTGCTGAAGATTGGGACAGAGTGCTTATGGGAGTGTCCCGCATGCTGTGATGTTGACTCTTGGTTCAGCAATCAACTTCTCTTGGATTCTTATCTGAATAACGCCTCTTTGAGTCACTTGATGGGAATCTTTCAGAATGCCATCTGGGGGAGGGAGGGGGAGAGAACAGGCATGTCAAATCAGGAAGCTGTAATAACATTCCTCTTTTGCCCATTAGATACTGAGTGTCAAAGGGCGTGACCCTCAAGTGACCCTGTGTACATACCTGGTGAAACAGATCAAGAAGAGCCAGCCAGAACTCCTCAACTGGCCAAAGAGTCTGGGACATGTGTCCAGGTGTGCTGCATATGCAGTTAAAGCTGTTGGTGCAGAGATAGATGGTAAGAGATGTTCCTTCTTGTCATGGCTGTGGTTGATCTTGTTTCTTTCGTTGACTGCTTATGCTGTAAAGTGTCACAGAGCAGAGTTAGATGGAGTTTCCTACCTTTTGCTAGTTGCATAGCTTGTGTTAATGTCATGCTAGGCTATCCTCTGAATAACGGTCCCAAATTATCGAGACTGAAAATATACCCTAACAGAGCCTCAGTCACATGTCAATTGCGGGCGACTTAAATTGGGCACTTCTGGTGACTACCGCCACCGCCAAGAGTATCCCACGCTACTACTATGCAGCGTGGAGTGGGGCTAAACTAGATAGCTAGTTAAGCCCTGCTCCACGCGGCGCGTAGCGGCATGGTCGATACTCTTGGTGATGGCAGTAGTCGCCAGAAGTCCGCAATTCACATGTGACCGAGGCCCTGTTAGGGTATATTTTCGGCATTGATAATTTGGGACCGTTATTCAGAGGATAGCCTCATGCTGCATCTATGTAGTGCTTCTTGTACTCTCCATCTATCTCTTTCTTGGTCAACCTCTTGATTGTAGTTTGCTGTTCTCATGTAGTACACTCTAACTGTTGGCTGATTTTGTTCTATTCTGACCAGATTATTTGATTCTTTGATGTTCTGTGAAATCATTTACCGGTACTGTGTCTACATTGTACTTAGTTCTTCATTCTGTGACTGCGTCTGTTCTTGTTTTTTCCCCGCCACATTTGTTTTAGATCTCATCTCACACGTTGTAATTTTGCATTTGTTTTTCTAGGACTGTCCAAGTCTATCATTAATAGCTCAAAGTTGGTAGGAATAGAATGTTTATCAGCAGCTTTTGTGAGTGTGCATATTGATATTTTGATGCCTCAAAAGTGCTGCTATTGGGTGATGTCTGATGGTTCTTGTAAATTGCTGCATATGTTGAGTTTTCAAGCCTCAAAAGTGGGACAGCACTCCTAACAGTCACTGTACAACATTTACAGGAACCTCTTTCATCAGTTAGCAGGTTCCTATACAGAACATCACTGTCTTCAAGGCACACCTGAAAGTCTCTATCAAGTCCAGATGATCGGGGAGAAATATTGAAATTACTCCATATAGCTTTAAATTAAAAACTGGCTCATAAATAGCATTAAATCTTTAAAACTGAAATACTTAGACCATAATGATTAAAAATTGAGCCCACAAAACTGACAAGGGACCCAAGGGACAGTCCTTTGGTTTCAGTTAGTAACAATGTTCAACAAAGACCTGCCAAATGAGGGCGAAGGTTGAATAGTCTTCAGCCTTTTAAAAGCTTAACTTTTTTAGTACCAGACAACACATGATGAGTAAATCGCTCTATCTGCAGAATCCCCTCCTTAGCTTAATATGTTCTTTTACTTTTTTTGTGTGGTCAGAACACACTCCAGAAATCTGGCTCGTCCAGTGGTCACTACCGCTGTTATAGTACTGCTTAGAAAATAGTATACCGATACACTTTAGTCACAGATATTTCTTCATTGGCTTCACCTACTTGATCATCTTCTGGTACTGAAAGAGCTGAGGGACTCAGCTGCAGATATCACCCACCCCCACTCATCTCTGTGACTGACCCATTAAAATTGTCCTGATTTCAATGCTTAGATAGTGTTTGTCATGAAATGAGGTTTCACAGAGGTAGGAGTTGGTCCCACACTTTATCCCCGACGCATGCAAAATGCTATCATGATACACAGCACACTTGCCGAATATCTAGGGGATACTTAATAAGATCAGTCTGACAGGCCACAACTCCCACTCAACAGTAATAGAGGAATCCGGACACTGGTTTACTGTAAAGGTTTACGCTGTATTCAGACCTCCTGAAATGGAGTGCATCATGAGATGCGAATATCATCCACCAGTCATTCATACTGCTGCTACATGAAGTTACAAGATGTTCTAGAGGACCTCTCCTGCCACCCTATTTTCCGTGGTTGTCAATACCCGATCCCACAAATCCACCTGTCTCTTTGGTCATAGAAAACCCAGGGTCAATGCACAATAACTTGGGAAACCCTTCCAGATCTCCCGTCCGTGGCCTGTCATGTTACCTTGAGATATCCTGAATCTCACCTCACGAACACATCATGCTGGACGATTGCTGCTGCGTCAACTTGCACAGACAACATGAACACTATATTACCCTACCCAGCGTAAAACATAGTCTCACTCATCTAGTCTGGCAACACCCAGACTAGAACATACAGTCACACTCGAGTCCCTGATCCCATGCTACAGCTGCACAAGTAATAACAATATCAGTTCTCAGGGCTCTGCTGGTGCAATCTTCTTCTCCAACGCCAAGGAGATGTGAGTCCTTCCTACTGCACCGCGCCCTGGTTCACTTTCAATAATGAACTTTTCCACAGATTTCCTACACTTGCAGGGCTAAACAAGCCCTTGATCCTTTGAACCTGCTATTTGGTCTGTGGTTCCGTTTTCATATTTCTCAAAAAGCTTACATCTAAACTAAGGCACATGAATACATAGACTGGACTTCCAAATGCCATAACTCTTCATATGTCCATATATTGCACACAACAATCCTCCCAACCTGAGGAAGTAGGGTATCTCTTTGACTATTCTCAGTTGGCGTACTCCGCAGCTCAGTTGTGGAACTATCTTCCATAGCAAATCATAGAGTCGGAAACTGTTCGAATATTATCTGAGCACAGAATATATGCCCCCAATAGAAGATAAAACATATGTTAGAAGTAGTGCACATTTTTCCTAGATTGATTACTACTACTACAATCTAGTGCTTACATTTAATATTTTGATGCCATTGATAATGTTACTGTTGCTTGATGTATGAATGAAATAATGTAAGAAAGGAGGGAGACTAGAAGAACAGAATGTTAGAAGGGCCTGCATGCTTAATTCTTAACCCTTTGTTTGTTCGTTCGTGTCTATAAACTGTAATCTTTGACCTGTCTGGCTTAAGGCCCTGCTGGTAGACAGTTGAATATTACATATGTAATAGATTGAGATGGTCCCATAGTAGATATATGCAAAATCCAGGCTATATAAGGTGGAAGTCTTCTTTTTTCATCTCAATACCAGGTTGTGGCCAAGTGTCATGGTTTTCTTGATTTGTCTTGTGTTTCTTGGGTAGACTGGGGGGTGGACTTGCAGGTTTGTCTTGTGTTTCTTGGGTAGACTGGGTGGTGGACTTGCAGGTTCTAGCTACACCATTTATCCTCTCTTTCTTGGTCTGTTGCACAGTGAAGATGATCTTTAAATGAACAGTGAAAAATGTTTTGGTCTTTCCCTCGCCTTCCTCCCACATGTTCTGAAAGTCCCATATCCAGTTTGATCTGGTTGCATTGTCACTAGATGGCCAAACCATTTCATTCTTTGTCTGTCAGTATAATTCAGACAGTCTTACTCCAACCTTCTCTCTAATGCTGGTTCAGCTAGAAATAAAATGGAAAATTATTATATACAATGTCACTAACCACTCGTGTCGCATGCCTCATTTAAGGATTTCTTCTTAAGAACCAACAGCACTCTGAAATAATAGTGTTGAGGCGTTGGCTCGTATTGGTCTAAGGGAGATCCCATGGCCAATATGCGCCCAACTTATTTCAGGAGTAGGGCAACTCAAGCTCTAGCACTACAGAATATCTATTCCTAGGCACACTTGGCTGGACACCCCCACTACTATAAAAAGCTAGCTCCCAGGTTATGATAGTATACTATCATAGCCATGTTAACACAGATTACACTGATTAAACACACAAACATAAAAGCTAGACAGTTAGAATGGTGAAACAGGGACACCCAAGTCAGCCATGAAAATTTCTGAGAATGCATGTAATATTTTCATTATATACATATATATATTTATCAAGACAATTAAGATGGTTTCCAGTGAAAGGAGTTCATGACTTAACGTCACAGCAATGATGTTGAAACAGCCAGAGTCAGTTCTTAAACAAGTACATAATTCATCACTGTAAACTAGAGGTAACCATGGACAGAGAGCATGAAGGGCATCTTAGATGTACTTAACCCAACTGGTAGGTCTCTGCTCCCCTCAGTCCATGGTGACTTGAACCGGCTGACTCAATAGATTGCTTTTCCTCTGGTTGATCTGGCACCCACTGATTGTCTCACATATGAGGACAAAGGAACTACACTGGAGCCCAACACAGCTCCTGAAGAAGACTTCCTTGGATTGATGACACAGGTGACCTGCAATACTGTCACTCAGCCACTGGAACTCACACACAAGCTCCTGAAGAAGACTTCCTTGGATTGATGACACAGATGGCCTGCAAGACTGTCACTCATCCACTGGAACTCACACACAAACTCCTGCCATGTTGATGTTCTGCATGTTCTGCCAACAATAGGTAGGGTTTTGGGGTAGGATTGGTGATAGGAATGGTATGGGTTGGTGATTGCTGGTTGGACTGTGATTCGTCTGCCTGACTTCTAAGGAGATTTCATCCTGCCAGGAAAGAACTCAGAATTAGTAATCATCTTAAGATGCACACATCAGCTCAACTTATCTCCTGCTACCCTTCTAAGTCACTCAGAGTATACTCTCAAGAACAGGAGACCATGTTCCCTTTCATTCATCTGTCTGTAAGTCAGTCACCAGATAGAAAGATAAGGTACATAGTGGAGATAGATAGACACTACTACACATAGATCATCCTCTCTCCACCTTCCCATTTGCACTCGCAGACATACATTCTATCTCGTTCGTACATGAATATATTTTATCTCCACAATCTGCCTACTACACACCCAATGTTGTCGTGCTAAAATTAACCTTTGACTCAGAGAGCCGAGCTTTGACGTCACAGCATCTAACCGAATGAAAGCTGACCCAGTTTACCTAAGTCTGCTAGCCGACACAAATCCATTGTTTGGTTAGAGAATAATTAACTTGCTGGGTTTAATATCTTTACAATGGTGTGTGTTATGTATGGCACAAGCTAGTTAGCCTGTGAAGGGAAAGGTTTGATTTAAGCCTGGAGTGTGAATATCAAGAACAGCCCAGTTCTGTGCGATCACACAGCAGAATCTTCCCTCCCTGCAGCAGTGGCCAACTTTAAAGAGACATATAACATGGTACTCGTAAACTATAATCAACTTACCCAAGCTTAGGAATCCTTCAAGGATTAAACTGGTACTTTGAAAGCGCCAAAGTTACTGAGTGAATTACAAAGTCTTCCGACACCTCAGAAGTTTGGCAGACTAAGCTTGGCGTCTCTAGAAAAGAAGTCCTTGTATTCATGTCCAAGGAGTAAAAAGGCTTACAGGAATTTCTGAATAATATTCCCGAAATATTTATCCCACAGTTGCAAGGTTGAAAATGTAGACTTCTCAAAACAACTAGAGAGTCTAGAAATGTTTATTTCACCAGATAGAGGTATATATCAATATAAGGGACTATATAACCCCCCCCCCCCCCCCCCCCTCCCAGACGGGTCTACATTTGAAATGTAACGTGCCCGCTAGGGATGTCAGCGTCACGAACAGTCCACAGTGTAGGGTTGGCTGTTCACTCCACAACATACAACTATAGGAAAGATATCACCCACCGAGTGCAGATTAGTCTATAAAATATAGGTCGCCCTATATACCCGGTACACCTGAAGGCGGGGGAAAGGGTCTTTTCGTATTTTTTTTACCTATAGGAAAGATGCAGACCATGTTCTTTGGTCATGTGGTAAAAAAAAAGGCAATGGAGAACATTGTGATGACTGGAAAGATCAATGGTAGCAGAGGCAGACATGAAACGATACCTGTGTTCTGAAGTGATGGCATTTTGGAGTATCATCAGTGGAACTGAATCAGAATACCAAGGACCAAGATCTGTAGAGGGATGAGTACCTGTGCTACCTTGCGAGTCACTTGATGATGATGATATGAGGTGGAGCAGCTGATTATCTTCCTCACCACCTGTAGTTTCCAAGATTTAAGTCTTATCCATTAGATATTGTATGAGGCTTGATAGACTCAGAGCTGATCACAAGTTGGGGGGAAACAATCATGTCCCTTGTAGAAATAAACCTTGGACAGCTGCCTCAGTGGGTAACTTCCCTGTCCACTAAGCCACTACTGCAGCTGATATGATAGATGATGTTTGAATGCAGTAAAGCACCTGTAACTTTTGTTTTTTAGTTCTGAAAAATGACCTGCAAAAGATGAAAAAAATCCTGAAGGTCCTGAGAAATTCATTTGGTCTTGAGGACAAGATGGATAGGAAATTTGAGACAGATACACAGGTTTGTACAATCTTCATTTGTTTTTTTAAATTATCAAAGCTACATACACAGTTCAGTAATTCTCCAAGGGTGTGGAGACTAGTCAAGAGGAAAGAACCCATTTCTTCCCTAGGACGTCATCTACTTAATTGCAGACACGTAATAGCCGAAGCTTTAACAATTAAAATCAACAAACCTCTCCTCTGTAAGCAGACAGAATTTATAGTAAACTAGCTCTGCCCTGCCACGCGTTGCTGTGGCCCCGAATGGTGAAATGGAAAAGAAAGAAAGTAGCTCTCAACTAACAGTGTCAGTCATAACCCTCACCCCCCCCCCCCCCCCCCAGTCATATCTCCCTCTCCGAAGGAGTGAAAAATCATCCCTGGCGAAAGTATTAAAATAGAAATAGTTAAGAAATTAAAACTTGAAAAAAATGTTTTAAGCTCTTTTAGCTTACAGTGTCTGGCATAACCTCCTCCTCCCCCCACCTCCTTCCCATAATATTTCCCTCTCCGAAGGAATAAAAAAAAGCATCACTTGGCAAAATTATTGAAATAGAAATAGTTAAGAAATGATAACTTTAAAATAATGTTTTAAGCTCTCTCAGTTAACAGCGTCTGCCATAACCCCCCCCCCCCCCCCCCCACTAACCACCCCCCCCCCCCCCCCCCCCCCCCCCCCCCCCCCCCCCCCCCCCCCCCCCCCCCCCCCCCCCCCCCCCCCCCCCCCCCCCCCCCCCCCCCCCCCCCCCCCCCCCCCCCCCCCCCCCCCCCCCCCCCCCCCCCCCCCCCCCCCCCCCCCCCCCCCCCCACTAATCATATCATCCTCGCCGAAGGATGGGAAAGTCATCATCTGACGAAATATTGCAACTGAACTGAGTTTTGCATCCGTGTCCACCCAGAGACAGATAGATAGCATTAATGTGTAATGAGAAGTAAATGTGGCTAGTGTAACAGCTACCACATCACCCATCCAGTACCAGTACTACTGCTACCACTACCACGACCACCTTCAGAACAAAAACAAAAAACAGTCACTACTGTCTGTGTAGGTCGGTGTAGCCAGAGGGGTTAACGCTGCATGATGTCGCCACGGACTGTTTAGTGTAATTGAGCTCCCAACAAAGAACAAGAAAACCCACAGTAATAGTCTGTTCTATACTCACAAATAGCGGAAATAAAAAACCCCACCCGTCATCTTCCCTCTCCGAAGGGAAAAATGTTAAATGACCTTGGCATCCGTGTCCACCTAAAGTAAACTGCACTGTAAGCAGTCTTAGTTAACAGCTTCTGTCATCTACGAATAGTTTATCATCAAGTGAAGCGTCGCGGGGAGGATAAATTAGACTTCTCTGAAATCGGATGTCTTTGGACAAAAGGTGCAGATATCGCAGCCTAACTGTAAATCACAACACAACATGTCAACAGCCCTCTTGAGAGAAAAAGGAAAATTAGCACCCAGTGGGTAATTGAACACCGGTCAACCACGTGAAGGGAGGATTACGTACAAATCTACTACCTAAGACTGAAGAGAATGGGTCCGACATCTGTAGCTGTAAACCACAACACAACGATCCAACCACCCTCTCAAAGGCTAACGAAGATTACCCGTGACATGACCAACATCTCGTCGCGCTATCGCAGGCAAGCTGTAAACCCCTAAATCGTGCGGAAAGAAGACATAGATATCGCAGCCTAGCTGTAAACCACAACAAAACGTGCCAGGCGCTTAGTTAAAGGCAAAAAAAATTCTTTATCACCTAGCGGGGCAATGATCGCCAGTCACCCACATAACACGCAAAATAGACAACTACGCTACCAAGGACTCAAGCATCTGCCCAATTATATCTCCCTCTCCGAATGATTAAAACATTATTATGTGGCGACATTGTTAAAATAGAAATAGTTAAGAAATAAGAAATGTCAAAAAAATGTTTTAAGCTCTCTGTTAAAAGTGTCTGGCATCAAACCCCCCCCCCCCCCTAATCCTGTCATCCTCTATGAAGTATGGGAAAGTCATCGTCTGACGAAATATCGTTGTTAAATTGAGCTTGGCATCTGTGTGCACCCAGACAAAAATGGGTAGCATTAATCTGTACTGAGAAGTAAATGTGGCCAGTATAACAGCTACCACATAACCCATCGAGTACCAGTACTACTGCTACCACTACCATCACCACCGTCACAACAACAACACAAAACGGTAACTACTCCTGTGTACAGGTCGTTGTAGCCAGAGGAGTTGGCGCTGCATGCTGTCCCCACGGACTGTTTAGTTTAAGTGTGTCCCCGACATAAAACTCCATCACCTGACCAGTGATGGAACCCACAGTAAAATTCTGTGATATAAAAAAAAAAATGTACACTGTACTCACAAATAGCGGAAATAAAAACCCGCACTCGTCATGTCTCCCTGTTCGAAGTGACGATGTTTAATTTACCTTGGCATCCGTGTCGACCCAAACCAAACTGGACCGTAAGCCTTCTTAGTTAACAGTTTCTGTCATTACAAATAGTTTTTGATCGAGTGAAGCGTCGGGGGGGGGGGGGGGGGGGGGGGGGGGGGGGGGGGGGGCAAATGTGGATTGTACTTAAATCGGATGTCTTAGGGCGTAAGGCGCAGATGTCGCAACTCAAACAACACAACGTGCCAATCGCCCCTTTGGGGTAAAAAGAACAATTAGTACCCAGTGGGGAATCGAACACCCGTTATACACGTGAAGGGCGGAATACATACGACTCTACTACCGAAGACTGAAGATTTTAGGTCAGATATCGCAGCCTAGCTGTAAACCACAACACAATGTGTCAACCGCCCTCTCGAGGGCGAACGAATATTACCCGTGACATGAACATTAAGCATCACGTTGCGGCTATCGCAGGCTAACTGTAAACCCCAAAATCTAACGGAACAAAAAGCGTATATACTGCAGCCTAGCTATAAACCACAACATGCTGTTGTAGAGTTTCTCTGATATCTTTAAATCTTGAAGCCTCCTCAACCATAGACACATCCTGCTGTTGTAGAGTTTCTCTGATTTTTTTAAATCTTGTTGTCTCCCCAACCATAGACACATCCTGCTGTTGTAGAGTTTCTCTGATATCTATAAATCTTGTTGTCTCCCAAACCATAGACACATCCTGCTGTTGTAGAGTTTCTCTGATATCTTTAAATCTTGTTGTCTCCCCAACCATAGACACATCCTGCTGTTGTAGAGTTTCTCTGATATCTTTCTATCTTGTTCCAGCCTCCTTGCACTCACTAGACTCTTAGCATTCAACAGCTGTAAACTTGACTGGAAAGTTCTGGTTTTTCATCCACACCTGGGATTTGGTCTAAATCCAGAGCATGAGTTTTACGTGCATATCTGTTTTACAGATCTAGCTTATTTGTTTGCAGACTTTTGGTTCCTTGCCTTGCGGACATATACACTCTGACTTTGAAGAAATGCCCTTAATTAGTTGCCTCCCATAACATGCTTGGGAGGGGGGGGGGGGGGGGGGGGGGGGGGGGTTACTCTCTGATGTTTTAGACGCTATACAGGTAGCCAAAGAAGAATAGTAAACCAAGACAGAACTGGTGTTATCAGTCGCCACATGCTGATGGACATACTGAAGATGGGATCTGAGCGTTTATGGACTTGTCCAACTTACAGTGAGGATAATCTATTGATTAAATAACTCTATTTAAGACCCAGACATGGCATTTCTTGAGCAGTATTTCCAGCCAGATGCTCAGTCCTCTCCAGGTAACCATTATTCCTGTAGTCTGTATCTGCAAGCATAGTTTACCAGTCTGTTCCCCAGGTAGTTCAAGCCTGTGGTAAAACCCACACAGTAGTCAGTAACAGCTGGAGTTGGTTTGTGACATTTTGAATTAGGTAATCACAGTTCCAAGTTCATAGCAAAACGGGTCACCCCATATTTGCTCTGTTCTTGTGTCAGCGAAAACAACATAGAACTGTTCCTTGTGAAAAAATTCACATAGACGGTAGTCTAAGTAAAGCCACTAGCGTGCGAACGCACACATACACTTTAAATGCATAAGAAGTGCCAACACAAAAATGCATAGAAATGCATTTCATCATTGATGGAAGCAGCAGTTACAACAGATCAGTATTTGCACATGCAGTTAATTGCATAAGGCACCAGCATAGACATCCTGAAGAGGACATCCAACTAACTTGTTTTGAAACCACAAAGCACAATCAACATCTGGAGCCACATACATTTTTACATGATCCTGCATCAGTGTACTGTTCCTCTTTATTCCAAGCCCTTGAGGTTGATTGCTGCAGATTTCACCTGCCTCCATCCTTCTGTAACTGACTTTCTCTTTCAGTTTGGCGACTCCGTGTTTGTAGATATGTAAAGTAAATATAGGCTCCTTTTTCACGCCTTCAGGCATATAGGGCTAGATCTATATTTTACAGACCAATTAGCACTTGATGGGCAGCATCACGCCAGCCGTCTTTACTTCCCGGGACCCGCCCAAGGCTGGGTCAACCTGGGAGCCAGGGTCAGAACCCATGACTTTTGGATCTGCAGGCGAACATCTAACCGCTGCACCACAGTGACTCCCATTTGTAGGAATGCCTGTATGGTGTCTGTCCACAGTCTTCTTGGTCTGACTGTGTTCTGGTCCCAAACTTTTCCAGTTTTTATACTTGTCATTCTCCCTTATACCCCAGCCATTACAGTCACCCACATGATGCCAGTCATTAGTGGTGATCGAAACATGAACTCTATTCCTGCTTCTTTGTCCCTTTTTCACTGTTTGTATCTTTGATGGCTGCAGAGATGTCTTTCTCTTTTCTATTCCTCAGTCACAGTAATGTGTTGTCCAATCATAATTTTCAACTTTAACCATTAAGTGTCGTGGGGAGGAACAGTTTGCGGTTCAATGCTAGATTAGTTGTAACGACTATTGTCATTCTGCGTCAGTGTAGGTCTTTGTCATCAAGCCGTCTTCTTCTATGTTATCTCTTGCTTTTACATCAGATCTTTTCATGTGTTGGTATTAGTGGCTGCATTCTAACGAGATGACTAAACCAGTTGATCTTCTGTTTCTCAGTGAATTTGGTGCATGTAGTTCCTGTAGTCTGTCTGATAGTATCATTTCTCACTTTGGAATAGTTAGATTGGTGTCTTTCTGCAGGCATCTTATTTTACATAGGTTAATTTTGTCCAATAAATTTAGCTCATCAAAACTCATACTGGCTACTCTAAATTTTACAGATATTGAGATAGTTTCTAAATAACTAGCTAGTTAATGGTATACGTACCTGACATTTAAAAGCATTAAAAATATATGGTTAAGCACCAGCAAGGAAGTCAAAGTTAAAATGTTGAGTGCATGCGTCTTCCCTGTAGCAACATATGGTTATGAGTCCTGGACTATCTCCCAGTCCTTAACTCTTTGAATTCCAGAGGATTTAGCATCACAGGCCCAATGGGTAGTAAAGAGAGACTAAAATCGACACATCATTGGGCTTCTAGGTAGGAACCTATGAACGTTTGATGTGTTTACTGGGACTGAAAGAGTTATGAAAGAAAATACGGGCTTTTGAGCTGAAATGCTATAGAAACATTCTCAGAATACCATGGACATATAAGAAAAAAAATACTGACATTTTAAAAGATCTGAACATCAAGGAAGATTGGCTAATAAACAGCATCTCTACTCAAAAGCTGAAATAGTTGGGTCATATCAAGCACTATAGCAGATTGGAAAAAATAATAGCAGAAGGCATGGTACCAGGAAGGAGTGGCAGGGGCTGACTGAGATGAAAATGAGCACAAGATATAAGTGACTCCTTGAATATGAAAGTAGACAACGTGGGAGAGCTGGCGAGAAACCGAGTTTCTTTCAGGCAGACCATGATGAGAGTGACGTTCTGCAGAGTACTTGCTACAAGATGACCTGACATTACAATCAAGGCATCCTAAGTTGCATGTGTATGTTGTACTGATTCTCAGCAATAACTGTCCTGTCTGATTCTTGCAGAACTTCATTGTTGAGTATGATCTCAAATTACAACAGCTAGATGTCAGGTACAACAAGGTCATGGACAAGCATAAGCAGTTATTGGTAGGTAGTTGGTCGATTTTTGTAGCTCCTTCGGCGCTGTTACTACTGTGTGTATTTTAGGTCACCGTAAACAGGAGGGTTGTGAGCCTGAAGATTGAGGGCCACAAGCTATTGCTGTCGCCACAGACTGTGCAGATTAAGATGTTTATTATTGCCCCCCCCCCCCTCCCGAACAGCAAAACTTCTCTTCATTGTTGTAAAATATCAGCATTGGTTGGCCAGTACAGGCAGTTATTGGTATCTCATCATCATCATCAGGTGCCTTGCTGACTGGCATAGGTGATCAGAAGTAAAGATCCATTTTCATACCTGCAGGCATATCGAGTATATGGGAAGAGCAACCATATTATTACATACCATCGGCAGTAGGTGGGTAATGTGGTCAGCATTATGCTGGCTGTCTTTATTTCCCCAGGATAGTCATCCTAGTACCCATTTTAGGCTGGGTCGACCTGCGACGCCCCATACCATGATAAAAATCAACACAGCTGCAGTTGGTTTTGATCGCGGTATGTTGGAATTACGAGTCGGACTCTAAACGCTCAAGCCACAGGCGCTGCTATAGGTGATTATGCCTGTCCACAATCTGCAATCCACAACTGCCGGTATCAGTTCATGTGCTGACACCCCTCCATCTGCAATCCACAACTGCCGGTATCAGTTCATGTGCTGACACCCCTCCATCTGCAACCACCACTGGCCAGTTCCCGTTCATGGCTGACACCCCCCACTGAATCCCAACTGCCGGTATCAGTTCATGTGCTGACACCCCTCCATCTGCAATCCACAACTGCCGGTATCAGTTCTTGCTGCACCCTCCCTCTGCAAACCAAAAACGCCGGGATCGTTATGTGCTGACCCCTCCATCTGAATCCACAACTGCCGGATCGTTATGTGCTGAAACCCCCCCTTCAATCCACAACTGCCGGTACGTTTAGTGCTGACACCCCTCCTCTGCAATCCACAAAAAGCCGGGACAGTTTGTGCGACACCCCCCCATGCCAGACTAAAGACTGCAAGAATTGATTTGGGGTTCACATAGTTACTGTAGCTTTTGTTTGTGTTTTCATATTACTGTGGTAATATATGGTAACNTGTATCTAGCTGCTGTAGGGGTGTAATCATAAATGTTATAGCTGATAGTTGTGTAAATAGTTACTGTAGCTAGTATATGTGTAATCATAGTTACTGTAGCTGGTATATGTGTAATTATGGTTGTTGCAGCTGTTAGGGGTGCATCCTTGTTTTGTAGCTGATAGGGGTGTAATCATAGCTGTTGTAGCTGATAGGGGTGTAATCATAGTTGTTGTAGCTGGTATATGTGTAATCATAGTTACAGAAGCTGGTATGTGTGCAATCATGGCTGCTGTAGCTGTTAGGGGTGTTACCATAGTTGTTGTAGCTGATAGGGTGTAATCATAGCTGTTGTGGCTGACAGGGGCGCAATCATAGCTTTTTAGCTGATAGGGGTGTAATCGTAGCTGTTGTAGCTGATAGGGGTGTATTCATAGCTGTTATAGCTAAAGGGAGGCTATAATCATAGCTGTTGTAGCTCATAGGGGTGTAGTCCAATGTGTTAGAGCTGATAGATGTGCAGTCATATAAGCTGTAGTTGATAGGGGTATAATCGTAGCTATTGTAGCTGATAGGGGTGTAATCGTAGCTGTTGTAGTTGATAGGGTGATTGTAGTTGTTGTAGCTGACAGGGGTGTAATCATAGCTTTTGTAGTTGATAAGGGTGTTATATTAGCTGTTATAGCTCATAGGGGTGTTATCGTAGCTGTCATAGCTCATAGGGGTGTAATTGTAGCTGTCATAGCTCATAGGGGTGTAATCATAACTGTTGTAGCTGATAGGGATGTAATCGAAGCTGTTGTTGCTGATAGGGATGTAATCGTAGCTGTCATAGCTCATAGGGGTGTAATCATAGCTGTTGTAGCTGAAAGGGATGTAATCATAGCTGTTGTAGCTCATAGGGGTGTAATCATTGTTGTTTTAGCTGATAGATCCGTAGTCGTATGTGTTGTAGCTGATAGATGTGTACACATATGTGCTGTAGTTGATAGGGGTATAATAAAAGCTGTTTAAGCTAATAGGTACATTATCATAGCCATTATAGCTGATAGGGGTGTAATCGTAGCTGTTGTAGCTGATAGGTCTGTAATGTTAGTTGTAGCTGACAGGGGTGTAATAATAGCTGTTGTAGCTAATAGGGATGAAATCATAGCCATTGTAGCTAATAGGGATGTAATCATAGAAGGGGTGTAATCATAGTTGTTGTAGCTCATAGGTGTAAACATAGTTGTTGTAGCTGATATGTGTGTAGTCATATGTGCTTTAGTTAAAAGGGGTGTATTAGTAGCTGTTATAGCTAATAGGGGTGTTATCATAGCTGTTATAGCTGAGAAGGATTTAATCAACTCTGTTGTGGCTGATAGAGTTGTAATCGTAGCTGATAGGGGTGTAATCGTAGCTGTTGTAGCTCATAGGGATGTAATCATAGTTGTTGTAGCTGATAGGTCCATAGTCGTATGTGCTGTAGCTGATATATTTGTAGTCATATGTTCTGTGGTTGAGAGGGGTATAATGGAAGCTGTTTTAGCTGATAGGGACATAATCATAGCTGTTGCAGTTGATAGTGGTGTAATCATAGCTGTTGTAGCTGAAAGGGGTCTAATTGTAGCTGATAGGGGTGTAATTGTAGCTGTTGAAGCTAAAAGGGGTGTAATCAAAGCTCTTGTATCTGATAGGGGTGTAATTGAAACTGTTACGGCTGTAATTTTAGCTGTTGTATCTGATAGGAGTGTAATCATAGCTGTTGTAAATGATAGAGGTATAATCATAGTTGTTGTAGCTCAAAGGGGTGTAATAAGCTGTTGTAGCTGATAGGGATGTAATCATAGTTGTTGTAGCTGGTATGGGTGTAATCATAGTTGTAACTGATAGAGGTGTAATTATAATTGTTGTAGCTGGTTGTGGTTTAATCATAGCTTTTGTAGCTGATAGGGGTGTAATCATAGCTTTTGTAGCTGATAGGGGTGTAATCATAGTGTAATTATAGCTCATAGGGGTGTAATCATAGTTGTAAGTGATAGGGGGTGTAATCATAGCTGTTGTAGCTGATAGGGCTAACCTTAGCAGTTGTAGCTCATAGGGGTGAAATCATAGTAAAATGTGGAGTAATAATTATTGCAGGTGATGTATATTTATTTTAGCTGAGAGATGTAGTGTCTTAATTGTTACTGTAGAATTGTTACTCTAAAAGAGTAATAATTTAAAAAAAAAGCAGTGTTGTATTTTTTTTGATTTACCAGATGCCAAGAAGCCCTCAGAAATTAACTAGCTCATCATTCACTTCTAGCATAAGTGTTCAGTCAATATTAGAAGTCAGATCGGGTGTCATAATTTGATCATTTTAGACACCCATTTGCTAAGCTCATGGCTATAACTGAGGTTGCTGTATCCCAAGATGCCCAGGTCATACAGTACCATTTATCTGCAAAGTTGGAGAGCATCCACCTGAGATGTAAGGAACCAGCAGTCTGCATTAAAGAAAAAGCTTGATGTATTAACTAAATGTGTATGAAAAAATCAAAGTGCAGAAGTGGATGATCCAGTTATTGCTAAGATTTGCTAGTTTTTTCGTGTGTTTTTTCTCCCCCAATTCTCTGTGACCCTGTATGTTGCAGGTCAGGTTTGGTGAACCCTGTGGCAAGACAACTGAATCCATCTTTTCCCACATCAGCCAGTTGATGGAGACCTTTCAGCAAGCAGTGGATAAACTCCAGCTCTGATAATGATCAGAATGATTTTATTCATACTGGTGGATGTGGGAGCAAAGCCTGGATGAATGAACTAAGATTGATCTACACAGAACTTAACAGGAGGAGATGAAGCACCTGCAATGCTGTGAAGATACTCCTTTACTAGGCAGGTGGGCGGGAGTGGTACAAACTTGTCATCCTATTTTTTTTTTTAGGTCATAGTTAGGTTTAACTAAGATATGTTTACATGACTATATCTTCACGCTGCAGAGTTTTTGAAAGCTCTGCTCTTGAGATCAACTTTTTCTATTGGTGATTCCTTGTGTTAGATCTTGTGTTGGAGTAACATGTGTGCAGATCCAAAGATGACACAAAGTGACTTGCAGGACTTGGATTTTGTCCTACCTCTCTTGACAGGGACAATGCGAGATGATTGTAAATAGACCTGCCGGGGCAATAAGAGGGGAAAGAGAGGCTCGTCCTTGTGTCTGTTGTGGAAGCTGGTTGGTTGGGCCATGCTGCCGACGATTCTCAAACAAGAAAATTCAGTGACAATTTAAATTGCCTTCTTTTTAAATTTTTTTTTGTGTGTGCGCGCGAACTGCTGCATTGCATTGCCTAACCTCGTGTGACAAGCAGGTCAGTCTGTCTGAGTGAACAAAAACCCATTCTGATGCAAAAGATGTCTGGGTGAACAAATACCCATTCTGATGCAAAAGAAGATTGTATACCATTTATTACACTAAATCATGAAACAAAATGTGGGGCGTAAATGGACAAAAATGACCAGCTAACTGGCCTGATGTGGGCATGTGTATATAAATTACTAAGTACTAAAAGCATTTTTAAACATTCAGAGTTACAAAAATAATTGAGACATTGCTATTCAGCCCTGAGTTTGCATCGCACTCTCAGAATTAACTCCCCCCCCCCCCCCCCCTATCCCCTTTACTCCCCCCCCCCCTTCTCACTTTTTCTCTCAACACTCTCCTCCCTCCCCCACTTTCTCAACACTCTCCTCCCTCCCCCCCCCCCACTTTCTTAACACTCTCCTCCCTTCCCCCCACTTTCTCAACACTCTCCTCCCTTCCCCCCACTTTCTCAACACTCTCCTCCCTTCCCCCCCCCACTTTCTCAACACTCTCCTCCCTCCCCCCCCCCCCTTCTCCCACTTCCCCCCCCCCCCCCCCCCCCCCCCCCCCCCTCCCTCCCCCCCCCCCCCTCCCCACCCTCCCACTTCCCCCCCCCCCCCCCACCCCTCCCCCCCCCCCCCCCACTTTCTCAACCCCTCCCCCCCCCCCCCCCCACTTTCCCCCCTCTTCTCCTCCCTCCCCCCCCCCACTTTTCCCCCCCTCCCCCCTCCCCCCCCCCCCCCCCCCCTCCTACCCCTCCCCCCCCCCCCCCTCCTCCTCCCCCCCCCCCCCCTCCCCCCAACCTCTCCCCCCCCCCCCCCCCCCCCCCCCCCTCCCCTCTCCTCCCCCCCCCCCCCCCCCCCCCACCCTCCCCCCCCCCCCCCCCCCCCCCTCACCACCCTCCTTCCCCCCCCCCCCCCCCCCCCTCCCCCCCCCTCCCCCCCCCCTCCCCACACCCTTCCCCCTCCCTTCCCCCACCCCCCCCCCTCAACACTCTTCTCTCCCCCCCCCCCCCCCCTCCCCACTCTCCTCTCCTCCCCCCCCCCCCCCCCCTTCCCCCCCCCTCCTTCCCCCCCCCCCCCCCTTTCTCCCCCCCCTCCTCTCCCCCCCCCCCCCCCCCCACTCCCCTTCCTCCCCCCCCCCCCCCTTTTCCACCCTCCCCCCCCCCCCCCCCCCCTTCCCCCCCCCCCCCCTCCTCCCCCCCCCCCCCTTTCTCCCCCTCCCCCCCCCCCCCCCCCTTTCTCCCCACCCTCCCCCCCCCCCCCCCCCCTCCCCCGTTCTCCCCCTCTCCCTCCCCCCCCCCCCCCCCCCCCCCCTCACCCCCCCCCCCCCCCCCCCCACCCCCCCCCCCCCTCCTCCTTCCCCCCCCCTCTTTCCCCCCCCTCTCCCCCCCCCCCCCCCCCCCCTTAACCCTCTCCCCCTCCCCCCCCCCCCCCCCCCCTCCCCTCCCTCCCCCCCCCCCCCTTCCCCCCACTCTCCTCCCCCCCCCCCCCCCCCTTTCTCCCCCCCCCCCCCCCCCCCCCCCCCCCCCCCCCCTCCCTCCCCCCCCCCCCCCCCTCCCCCTCTCCCCCCCCCCCCTCCCCCCCCCCCTCCCCTTCCCCCCCCCCCCCCTTTCCACACCTCTCATTCTCCCCCCCTCCCCCCCCCTCCCACCCTCATTCCCCCCCTCCCCCTACCCCCCCACCCCCCCTCACTCTCCCCCCCCTTCCCCCCCCCACTTTCCCCTACCCCCTCCCCCCCCCCCCCCCCCCCCCCCCCCTTTCTTTACCCTCTCCCCCCCCCCTCTCCCCCCCCCCCCCCCCCCCCCCCCCCCCCCCCCTCTCATTCCCCTCCCCCACCCTCCTTCCCACTCTCCCCCCCCCCCCCCCACTTTCTCCCCTCTCATTCCCTCCCCCCCCCCCCCTTCTCTCCCTACCCCCCCCCTTCCCCCCCCCCCCCCCCCCTCAACCCCCTCCTCCTTCCCCCCCCCCCCTTTCTCAACCTCTCCTCCTTCCCCCCCCCTCCCTTTCTCAACACTCCCCCCCCCCCACTTTCTCACACTCTCCCCCCCCCCCCCCCCCCTTCTTAACCCTCTCCCCCCCTCCCCACTTTCTTAACACTCTCCCCCCCCCCCTCCCCCCTTTCTTCCCACTCTCCCCCCCTCCCCACTTTCTTAACACTCTCCCCCCCCCCCACTTTCTTAAACCCGCCCGACTCTCTCTCCCCCCCCCCCCCACTTTACACTCTCTCCCCCCCCCCCCCACTTTCTTAACACTCTCCCCCCCCCCCCCCCCCCCCCTTTCCTTAACACTTCCCCCCCCCCCACTTTCTTAACACCCTCCCCCCCCCCCCCCACTTTCTTAACACTCCCCCCCCCCACTTTCATACACTCTCTCCCCCCCCCCCCACAACACTCTCCTCCCCCCCCCACTTTCTTAACACTCCCCCCCCCCCCCCACTTTCTACACTCCCCCCCCCCCCACTTTCTTAACACGTTTACCCCCCCCCCACTTTCTAACACTCTTCTAACCCCCCCCCTAACACTCCCCCCACTTTCTTAACACTCTCCTCCCTCCCCCCCCAACCCTCATCATGTTGTATAAAATTTGTTTGTTGTCCTGACTGCAAATAAAAAATTTCATTAAGCATGTTTTTTGTTCTCTTTCTGAAATGACAACCCAAAGATTTTACTGGAAGATCCATCATCTCAAATCACTGATCAGAATCTTTTTTTTTTTGGGCGGTCTGGTTCCAAAATGCTGCCAGTGCAAAACACTGTAAACTCCTGTGCAGCATTTTAAAATGCCTCTCAGACGAGCACTCCAAATTGCAGGGAATGCATCTCAGGCACCCAATGGGGAAAAAAGTGCTGCTAACCCTGACAACTACTAATTCCCCCCCCCCCCCCCCCCCCCCAACACACACACGGCAGACAGTATCTAGGTCCACTCCTCATCTTTATATTTTAGCACCACACATTCAATACACAAAAACACTAGTCTCACAATACATTAAAACACTTCTCAGTCAGCTGAAACTAGGCAGCAACAAAAACCAAAGCCTGATGACTATTCTCACAATCGACAGAACCTTGCCTTACTATTCCTACCTACAATCAACAAGTAAAAATTGCAATGTGTGTCTATTCACATAATATTTACAGACTGGGGAAACTGGACCATGTTAACTTGCTCCGTTACCTGGCCCACAATTTTAAGCTGGAGGCAGAGACAGGGCTACAATCAGAAAACCACCACAAGTTCATGAAACACAGGTATTTGCTTGATAAAAATGATGCAAAAACTTTGCACTTCAGGTTCGTATTCGTCTGACATGCGTCTAGGGTCTGGCATGTCAGTTTGCAGTTGTCAATTGGTGGTGTATACCGCTAAGTCTGAAGCAGAAAACCAAATCTGTTGCAATATTGGAAGCTCAGTGTGAACAAACCTTTGAAGAGTCCTCATCGGCGATAGAAACCAGACAAATAAAATACAGACACAGAAAAATGAAAATTAAAAAGTGCAGAAAACAGATGTCAAAATATATTCAATGAAGAAGAAATCCAGGCACCACACAACATACTCAACTAAAGAAGATTTAAGTAAACTTAAAACAAATTACACAAAAATGGATGAATTAACTATTTCAGTATCAAACTTTCAAGTCAAGTAAGTCACTGACAAGACACAGGATGTGCCCTGGTGACTTCTTCCTACAAAAGTTTGTCATATTAACTCACTCAGAATAAACAATTCAGTTCTTCAAAGCATTTTAATAGTTAGCCCAGATATGAGCAGGAAATTAATTAATCATACTGGGTAGGACTGGGTTAAAACTTCCTTCACAACCCAGACACAGCTAGTTCAGTGTCTTACAAAACATGGACACAGCTGGTTCAGTGACTTACAAAATATGGATACCGCTGGTTCAGTGTCTTATAAAACATGGACACAACTGGTTCATTGTCTTCTAAAACAGCGACACCGTTGGTCCAGTGTCTTATGCAAAAACAATGGACACAGCTGGTTCAGTTTCATAAAAATGGACAGAGCTGGTTCAGTGTCTTATAAAACGTGGACACGGCTGCTTTAATGTCATAAAATGGACTAGCTGACTGAAGGCATGGCTGAACATAGACGGTTTAATGTCTTACAAAAATGGATATTTATTTAATCTCTAATAAACAAAGGACATAGCTGGGTCAATGTCAACAGAAAACTGGAAACAAATAAAGTGTATAAACTACACAACAGTAGGACAGCTATCAAAAATGCCCAAAAGTACAATACTTACAGGGCAACTCTTTCCTTTAACTGATGTTTAAAAAAAAACAAGCCTAATTTGACTAGTAAATCACTACATCTAGTGCAATACCATTGTTTTACTGACTGAGATAAGCAAAAGTAAACAACTCAAAAC